CCACACACACACACACATTTTTTTTGGCTTTTTTTTTTCCTTCTCGTGCACCCACAATACGTATTTGAAAACCCGCAGAAGGAATACACAAAAGGCAATAAAAAAAAAACAACATATGTCGGGCAACAAAGACCAAGAGCGTGCGTACGTGTGAAGAAAAACTTTTCTCTTTTATTTTCGTTTCCTTGCCAGCCTTTGTCTCGCTGAGGTTATCGCACGGGAGGGATCTAAAAAGCAACAATAACTAGAAGCCAGACTCAATCAAAGAGCTGCCAAGGTCACGTACAACCGACCATCAGCAGAGGCAAAACGGTCAAGGAGATAACCCACCGGGGTGCACAGTGGCGGTTGCAGTCCTTGAACGATGAGGCAGAGGTGCCTTTGCTGAGGAGGTGATGCCGGAAGGGTTACTCTGATTCTCTGCGTCTCCAGCGTTGCATCCCCGGCCGCAATAAATTCATTCACAAGCGAGTTGACCAACGGAGAAGAAAGCGCTTCGTCCACGAAGAAATCGCTACCCAAACCACTGTAAAAAGGAGAAATGGCACGAAGGAAGGGTTCGGCGCCTGGGGAAGTGGAGCCGTCATCCCCACTGAGTTTTTGCCATTTTAAATAAGGCCCTAAGAGAGCCAGCCAAATGACCATTCCAAAGGGGGTATCAAGTGGGCTTCCCTTAAGCTTTGCGTCAACGCCCACCGCATCAGACACGCTACCGGGATCGTGGTTGGTGTTGCAGCTTCTATCATTGCCTTCTATAGTGGATCTTGGTTCCTCATGCTCCTTTTGAGTTGGCCTGTCATCACCGACTCCAGAAGACATAAGAGGAACACGAAAGAGCACAAACTGCATGGTACTCTTACCTAAAGGAATGTTAATCATAACGGCTACGTTTTTCGGAGTCCCTGCCAATTGCCGTAGTTTCACAATCCTATCATTGTAGGCTCTCAAGGCCTGTACAAAGGGATCCCCAATTGACGTACACGTGGCGAAGCTCAGTAACTCGTTAATAACTTCGCTACGAGCATCCATAAGCGCCTTGATGCTGCCGTACATGGCGGAAAATGTACCTTTTATCACCTGCTTCAGGAACTCGCCAATTGCCTCGTCTGCCGAGCGACGAGAGAGCACATCCTCCTGCCCAGGAACGGGCACTGTCAACGGCCTTTCCGCAGACACACATGTAATGCGCGCCTCCAGAATTAGTGGGGAACCAAACACGGCAGCGTATAACTCAGCTGGGGAGAGCTGCGAAAATTCGGTCTGAGAAGCCCTTGACTCTGCAACATCGGTTTCCGCAATCAGCAATGCACTGATACTATCTTTGATTGCCCCTATGGGGTAATGCCATGGCACCGGCTCACCTCTCCATGTTAGCCACACGAGCGGCGTTGTGTCTTCTCTCGCAACCGTGTAAAAGGAAAAGAAGGCCTGAACCTCGCTTCGCACAGCCATTAAGACGGAACTTCGCGGGAGCACGTAAGTCAATGGTGCCGGCTTTGCCTGCACCGTGCAATCCGCATCACTAAGATAGATAATAAGGGGAACTCCTCCCATGTACTCCTCAACCTGAAGGGACATCCTCCAAAATGACTGCAAACTACAACTAATATATATATATATATATATGGCTGTAACAAGTGAACAGTCTTCGTCCTCCTGGTTTAATCTTGTGAGGAGGAAGGACCCCAGCAAACGAATTCAACAAGAATCACAGAGAGAGCGTGGTCCAAGCTACAACTGGCACTACCTAATTTATATAAATATTACTCTTCCATTTACTTCAAAAAAAAAAAATGGAGGCACTGAAATCAAGCGGGCACACACACACGCACAATCTTGCTTAACCAAGGTGGCGATAGCACCATTCAATATGTATATATTGGAGAATTCTCACTGCTGTGCTAATTCATGCATGTGACCGCAAAGAGATATGGAATTACTGAACAGCAAACAACGTACGCACACATTTATTATGCACGTACAGTGATATTGATATATACCATACGTACAATGAATGTTTGCATATAATAGTAATAGTTAATAAAAATATAAAAAACTGGGTGACGTTAGAAACCATCTTTCCGCCTTTCTTGTCTTTTTTTTTGTTTATCCCCTCTTTATTTTCTTTCTTTCCGTATGGTTTCAAACGATGCGCCTTCACCAATGAGCATTCCCTTACCGAGGGTTGTCGTTGCTTATTTGTTTTTTTTTTTGTTCCCCGTCACCTTGCTCTGTTCTCACAAACCCCAGACAAACCCTTTTGGTTAGACGTGATTGTCACCTTCATGCGACCGTGTTCCGCGTCTTTTCCCTTGCCCTCCTGGTCATTATTCATACGTCGGTGTGTGCATTAAAGTAGATGCACCCAACCCCATCCACTTTTTTCCTATCTCCTCTCTCTTGACCCCAATCGCTCCGCATCGAGCGGATGCATGCCCGCCAACCACTCACTCACTCACCTATGCGGCGCGGGCCCAGCTCACTGATGGGCCCGCCTGCATCCATTTAAGTTAATGAAGCATGAGGAGTAGAAATTAAACAGGAAGAGAAGCGAAAAAAAAAACAAAAAAAAAACAAGATAGTGAAAGCGAAACACAACACCGTAGAAAGCTCAAGAAACAAAGCGGTTGATTTCACTGAGCCAGTCCTCGTACTCTGCTTGCTCCGCCCAGATACCATACTCATCCATAAACTTGCATAACTCTTCCGTCAAACCCCGCTCATTGAAGTAGCTCGTCAAGGCGTCGATAAGGTCCACGTCCAGATCGTCTAACTGAGGACCTTCGTACAGACGCTGGCGCTTCCGTGATGCCTCTGGCGATTCATCCAATGCAAGCTTTGCATCCTTTATAAAGGAGATGGTCCTCATGACGACCCCACCGTCCTGAAAAGCCATGTTGCACATCAAGGATTTGCCTTTGGATGTAACAAATGTGAGAAATTCAAAGGCAATATCGTCCTCACTTTCCGTGTCATTCCCAAGGAAGCGGATGAGAATCTCTTCGTCCTCGTAAGTCTTACTCATTGTGAATAACATCTCGCCGGGTTTGCGCTCCAATTTCCAGCCCGCTGGAACTTCTGGCTTTTCAGGTTTTCCAGAGCGCTGCTGCTCGTCGTCCAACTCGCGGCGGGTGACGTCGGCGAGAGCAGTGTGCGAAGCGAGGCGTCGCTGCTCCATCGCCACAAGGGGGCTTATTGTCGCTGCCGCGGTCACCGAAGGAGCACAGCGACGAATAGGTGGTGCTTTTTGAATAGCAAAAAGGGCAGCTGACACAAGAACACGCCGCATATCTTTATGCCTCGATTAGCGCTTCGCTTCTTAATGTTGTCGCTTCTTTTCTCTTTTTTTGGAGTGTGAGTGTACAAAGAGGAGACGGCGGCGAGAAGACAGACGATGTATAGAGTGTCAAATGGCCTCAGACGACTTTGCACGTATGTATTTCTAACTCCAGGTGGCAGATGAAAGGAAAGAGGCAGATGTTCCAGTGAAATGAAGGCAAAACCAACAACAACAATAACTCATCACGGGAAAATTATGCTTTTCCATTCCCATTTTGTTTGTCGTTAAAAACACACAAGGACAAACGCACATTGCTCCCCTCCTCGTTTTGCCAACGACTTAATCACTAGACCGCCGCAGCAACATCACTTCCTACTACGTTTCGCGTCCACTGCACTGGTTATCTTTCTGCACAACAAACTGCTTCTCAAAACCACTGCCGTGTTCAGCAGGAGCGCTGCCGCTACAAACTGTTTTATTTAATAGCTCCTGCAACGGGGGAAGTTCCACGGTATCTAGCCACCGCATAAAGTACGGGTGCTCGCGGTTGTCCTCGGCCGCTGCGCAAACTCGCCACGGGGGCTCATGGTGCATTTTTCCCGTTGCGCGATGCTCCTCCCAACACCGCTCCACCTCAGCAAAGGGCGACAAGTTCGCCTCACCCAACTCCCTACGCCACGCAACTTCCTCCGTGATGATAAAAAAAGGACCACTCACCGCCTTCTTTTCAAAAGAAGAAACCGTAGGCACAACTTCCCGCGCTGACAACGGTGTTGAAGAATGATGTTGTGATTGTCTCTCTGTTGTTTCTATTCTATGTTTGGAACTAGACAACCGCCGGCGCACACCTCGCCTGTCCTCGTCAGCGCCTGCATTGTCATCTGTAGAGGACCCCATTTATGTGGGGCCTGTGTGTGATGTGTACTAACTGAAAAAAGGATGAATCAGTAACGTTTGGAGTTTTTGTCTTCGGGACTAGTTGGTGTTGCCTTTCATCGTCCCCCTAAATCACCTGCCAACATGTCACGTTGCACCAAATTCATTTGATCTTTGTTCCTTTACTGTCACTTTCGTTCTTGTTATTATTATTTTTTTTATTTCTTGCATACTCTACTCCCACACTCACGCGCTTTCAATTCCCCACCCACACCTCATGTCATTTCACTCAGAAAAACCATAATCCAGTACAACGCTCTTAGATGGACGATAAGCATGTAACCCATTCATAGTGTCCATTGAGGTCATCAGCCATTGACCCTCAGTTCCACTGCACCACTTTGCATCGATGACGCGTCCCAAGTGCGCAGTATGCAGAAAAGACAAGTCAAGACAAGCATAGCAGGTTCATCCTCAGTATCTGTAAAAGGCATAAAAATTGTTTGATCATATCCCAGATGGCAACTAGTCCATCCTCGCTGAAGGTACTCAGTACTGTCTCACTAAAGGGGGCCCACAGAAGTCCCGTGATACTCTTACCATAATACCACAGCAAGGGAAGCTCCGTCTTTTTGTGTTGTCGAATGTCCCACAAGTGCAGCACACTGTCTAAACTGGCACTGACAACCTGAAAAGCGGTAGTGAGATGTAGTTGGGCAGCGGTAATACCACCCTCATGTACACGGGGCCATGAGCAACCAGATTTTTTATCTCTTGTGCCCCACAGTTGTATTGCCCCATCCATACCCGCCGAGAGCAGGAGATAACCCTGAGAGCCGTGCCAAGAGACATCCGTTACGACGTCTGTGTGTGTTCCCATTCGGCAAACAGGTTGTACGCCCGTCTGCTGTCACTCCCATTTTCACCGTTAGTGGCAAAGAGTCGGTTATGGATGTGCCAATACAGAACATGCCCATCACTTGCACCACTCGCCAAACAACCTTTTGTGATGGCACTCCAGCTCAGAGCAAAACCACCCATCTCGTATGCAGGAAGCAAAGCATCAGGTACAACGGCATCACCCCCTCCTCTCCGCTGCAGTGAAGAAGATTGTATACACCTACACATCCTGAGGCTGTTTGTACAGCAATGATGTCTGAGTTCTGCGGCATAGATCTTGTTTTTAACACCACGCCATCTACATGGATTGTTTCTTCCACAGCACAGTGGCCACACACACTTCGAACCCGCGTCTCAGAATTTGCCCCCACCTCCTGCACTACCCCGCGACTGACACTGTTACCTGTAGATGAGTACTCCTCTGCACCCACTTCATCCGGTTCATTGGCCACCGCCACCCCAATGGCACGCACATAATTTTGCCTACCACAAAATGCCTGCGTACCAACCGCAAGATACTGCAGGGTGCAATTCCACCCGTTAGTCTCCGTTCGGCGCCCCGAAATCCAGTCGACGGTAAGGCTTGGCCACCCCAACACATGAGTGCTGCAGTAGAAGTATAACTTCCGTAGGTTTTGCCCCCACGTCCGCTGGAACCTCACAAGTCTAACAAACTCCTTCAAGAGGGACTGCGTTGACATCACTGTCTCTTGTTTTCCCCCATACGAGCCAAGCACCTTCACTTCACACTCTCTCTCACCACATACCCTGCTGAACCAAAACTGGATGTTGCCCCGGTCGCTTGACTACATACGCTCTTCATCGCATCTGCGACATCCCCAGACAGAGGCGCATGTGTGTGTGGTGGGGGGTAGGGGTGATGAAGAAAGTCGGAGTCAATTCCTCTACACGCTGCAATAAACTCCTTACACTTCACCACAACCACCACCGTTCACACACCGCACAGCAGAGCAGAGGCAGCAGAAAACGCACACATGTCACCCACGTGTGGCCTTCATATAAGCCGAAGCGGCGCGTGGCAGAAGATCCGTACGTCCGTGAGCTGCAGCTGTACCATGTCCTAAAGCCACCACCCTTCCTACTCCTCCTCCTTTGGCTGCCGCGGCTGTCGCTGCTGCTCTCGCCTTCGCTGTGGTAGGTTGTGCAAACTCTGTCGTGCTTTTTAGGCGCACGCCAGCGGAGAGAAAGCGATTAAAATCAAGCCTCGCCCACAAGGCCCGCTCCGTGGCACGTACTGCGGAACCCGAAAGATGGCCGGTAAACGCAGCCACGACATCTTGCTGCACCCGCGTCTCTAATGCGGCGAGCGCTGCAGAGACCTCAAGAGAAATCTGCGCCCCATCTACCGCCCACGAGGTCAAGCGATAGCGCGTACAAAGTACATATAGGGCAATGGAGCACTGAAAAAGGGACTCACAGGCCAACAAAAGTGACCCCGAACCCTCGGTTATAAAAGAACCCTCTGCAACATGCCACACATAACGGTCAAGGCATTTTTTCGCTTCCTGTACACTTTTGCATCTTTCCAATGACTTCTCCAGCTCAGCGGTTTGCAACACAATTACATCCACTTGCAGATGATATCCTAATGTGGTGTGAAGAAACAACAGCATTTGCATCACGGCAAAGGTGCGCCGAAGCTCAGCTGATGGTTGTTTGTTCGTCATAGAAGCCTCTGAGAAGACGTATCTAACACCATGAAGCGCATGCAGAGAAAATCGCCTGGCAATATGAAACGAAAAAATCCTTTGGTAGTACTCCAATGCCTTGGCTGACAAAACCAAGTGAAGACCACGAGGTATGACGTAGTGAAGCCCAAGGCCTCGCATGTTGCCAAGAATGGTACGCGCCGTTTCTTCGATAGAACGTAACTTACTCTCACCTATTTCTAGTGGAAGCACAATAAACATGCTAAAGCGTTCATAAATAGGTGCCTCAGCTAAACCAGTAACACTCAAAGCATGCATAAGGGCATCCGCTACAACACGTCCAATAGCAGCCTCCTTCAGGATGGTCTTGCGCACAGCACTGTCCACAAGGCTGGGAAAAGCAGCCTCCACAAAGGCATGCCAGAGATCTCCTCGGTGACATAAAAACATAGCACGCAAGGCAACAAGATGTTCGTGTAAGGCTGCTTGTTCACCTACTTTTAACCAAAGCGTTTTTGACCACAAAGCCCGAGCCGCCTCAATGCGTGTCTCTAACTCGTCAACCACTAAAAATCCACCATTGCAAAGCGAGGGGTTATAAATCGCCTTAAAAACAGCATTTGCAGTCTCATCCTGCGTTCCCAACGCTAGTTGCTCAAGATACTCCTTCCCATGACTCTCAGCTTCACCGAGCACTACACGTCGCTCTTTGCCAACAGACAAAATCAGCATGCCAAGCTCCATCGAAATTACATGCGGAAGAAGATCACTGTGCAACGTGTGGTCCTCCTTTCCTCCTTTGGACTTTACAGATATAAAGAAGTCTTTTCGGCCGTGCAGTACGACACCATGGGCAATGTAATGCGCAATTGTGTAAAGAAGACCCATCCACACCGATTCTCCAAGGCAGACTCTAAACTCCTGTGGAATCTCACGATTCAACACAAAAGCACGAATAGTAGAAAGAACAACATCCGTATTCTTCTGCTGATCTATCATCTCTGTCAGTAGCGTAAAAGCAGGGAAGTACACGGGGCGGAGCGCAGTTACGGCAGCAGCTGTGGTTGCATTCTGCACGGCATCCTCATAGTTCTCCAATATCCTTCTGATGGCAGCTCCAATAGCCGAAATATACAGGCCTTCAGTACGGCCCACTGCAATATCCGTCACCACACTACGCAGGGCATGGCACATTGCCCCAAGCGGTAGAGCGTCCTCAATCAACGCACGCTCTGATGGGTGCAGCTGCGACAAAACGGCAGACGTCTCCTTCCTGCCATTGTCACCACCAGTCCGCTGTGCCGCAAAAACCGCAAGCGGGAACGCTGTGGACGAGAACCCAAGAAGACTACATTGCAACTCTTCCATTTCTTTTGCCAACTACACTGCCCCTTCGCCGTCCTCCCTCTCACAGCCACGCAAAAAAAAAAAAAAAAGAGCCTGCAACTTCGTCCAAACAGCCCTCACATATACCTGACGCGTTCACGTTTGCTTTGTCATTCTTGTGTTTATGTGTGCCCATATGTGGCACACGTGCGGACGTGCCGAGCAATTAGAGAAAGAGAGGAGATGAATCATTGCGCCCGGTGTTGTCACAACGGGTTAACCAACCAAGTAGGCAAAAACAAACCAACAAACCAGCCATACCTCCTTCCGTAAGTTGGCACCCCCCTCCAAAAAATAAAAAATAAAAAAAATAAAAACAATCAGGTAACAAAAAAAAAAAAACAACAACAACAAGAAATAAAGGCGCCAATGAATACTTTTATTTATGTAGTCATGTCGTCGAACACCCCACATCAATTCTTTGTTCCAATGTACATGCATGCATTTATACCCGCCCTACCCAACACCTAACTCCCCCCTCTCTCTTTCTCATTCTCACCCACCCCGTTCGACTCCATTTTTTTGTTTACTAGCTTCCCCTTTTCCATATCCTCCTACCATTCTATTGTCCTTCTTCAAGTCCAACAACATTCATTTCCTCATTGTATTCAACCTGGAAAGCAAAACGGAAGACGCGCGTGAACGCACCGGAAGGGAGTTGCAACTGCCATTCCACGACGCCCTCACTATCCACACTGCACTCATTGCCCTCCGCTGTCATCCCGTCCGCCAGCATCTTCCTGCTCGGATCTCTCAGCTTCACTCGGATGTCATTATGCAAGGATATGGGGCACTGATCCTTTACTACCAATGCCGCCTCTGTCGTCAATGAACCCTTCACCGTAAATTCATATACATATTCAATGATCACTTGTGGGTTACGCAACATGGCACGAACAGTAGACTCCATTCGCTTCACTCTTTTTCGTGTGACGCTTACAGCATCATCTGTACCAAGTGACGTCGTAAATTCCGCACCGGCAGGAACAAATCCAAACTCCGATTTGCCTACAAAAATGTTGTTCGCAAAAACGTTTGCCTTTCCGGCAAGGAATAAGTAAGGACTTGTATTATTCGCTTTGATAATGAGGTAGGTCCACGGAGTTCTTTTTGGCACTGCATGATACATACGTTTCACCGGAAATGTGCATACGGCGATGGTGAGCTTTACCGGTCTGTTGTCGCTTCGCACAGTGGCTAAACCAACAATTTGAAATGTACTCGAGCTAGATAAAGAGGAAACCTCCGCCTGCTCCACCCGGGCAGACTGGGGAACTGGCGAATCAACATTGGCCCGCGTCAGTCCCGGTTCATCAAGAAGTCTTAGAGCCATAAGGCCACAACTGGAGCGCCCAGGGCGCACTGATGGCTGCAAACTGATCTTCCAATCCAAGAGTTCGGGCGGAGCTGAACTGAAGTGGGGCGTGGCTGTACTGAGCTTCATTTGCACTTTATTCCAATCCATTGAGGTCTTCTGACACACCTGGGCGTGGTATGTAACGTCCACTACAGACTGTCCCCGATTCATGCGGATGTCGTATAACGGAGTCCACGAAGCACCCATGATTACAAAGCTCACAAAAAGTTTTAAATTCACGGCCCGTTCATGGACAGAAATAATGAGCTCAACTGACATTTCTCGCCGTTCGTTGCACAAGTCATACTTTAGATCATTCAGATCCTTCTCTATTTTATGTTCTTTCAACACAAGCTCATTCTCCTCCTCTAAGAGCGTCAGACGACACTGTCCCAATTGCAACTTTCGGCGAGCAATAAAACGGGTCAGACCCTTCCAGGATGCAGGCTTTGAAAGAAACTGAGCCATGTGGTCCACATTTACATGCGCGTATTGTCCCTTGTCACGCTTCCCCATGGTGTTCAGCTTATTCTCCATATCTTTCAGTGCAATTTCAATGGCGTCGTTAACCGCATTTTTGTCGCTAATAACGTTAAGACGCTCCAAATTTTCATCTCGTGCCTTCTCCAGCTCTCGGACCCGCTCCCGTATATCCTCCTTGTTGACGTGCGTCTTGACACGCACCCCTCGCATCACCACCGGCTGGTTTGCTGCGTCCTCCAGACGAATCTGGAGTGTGTTCTCCAAGACGCCCCCCCAACCCTTTTCTCCCTTCAAGGAGAGGATATGTGTCCCAACCGTAAGCGCGGCGTTGGCGACGTAAGTAAGTTGTGCCCGGTCCCTGAAAACAGTCACCGCCTTCAGCGTAGGGAATATCTCAATACGTGGTAGATCTTGCTGCGGCTCCAGCGCAGTTGTAGCCATTGCTTGTTTTTTTTGTTCTGTTCTTTCTTTTTTTTTTTCAATTGGTACATTAAAACATGAATTACAAGCCCAAAAAAATAATAATAATAATGAAAAAGTCGGGCACTGCACACAGAGCGACATGGACAAGAGCATATGCATAATATCCATATATCTCCAACTAAGACTAAGTCACCCTCTGACATACGGTAAATGTGTGCATGAACGTGTCTAAGCAACAGAACAAATCGCCTCATCACCAACAACAACCATTTCTCTTCCCCTCACCTGTTTTTTTTTAAATTCCCCCCATCACTTCTCCCTCTAATTATCCCGTCACTTCAGCTCCCTCACATCTCACCAAACTGCTCCTGGTGAAACTTGTCCCGCTTGCTTTGACCGTCTTTGAGGATACGTCCATCAAAGAGTTTGGTTGCCACTTTAAACGCCAAGCAACCAGCGGGGTCACCAATTTCCTGAAACATCAATGTCACCTCATGATCCATCATGTAGGTGTACGTTAAATTTTCCATGGTCTTCAGCGTCAAGTGAACCGCCGCCTCCCAATCCAGCCGATGAATGAGGCACCGCAACAGCAAGAGATACATTTCTGAGTCACGCAAGTACCACTGGTCAGTTCCAACAACTGACGGATTCATGAGAACGCGCCACACCTCCTGAAACATGTCATGCGTGACACGTTCGTCATCCATAGGGCTCATCTGTAACATGAGTTGTGGATATGGGTTGTACACCTCCGGATCCCACAGATGGCGAGGTACAGGGTCTGCTGGGCAGCCTACATGAGGAAGGGAGGATCGAACCCGCAACGATGCAATGGTTGGAGCCCGCTTCCACTTAAACAGAGCTGCTGTGTCATTCATATCTCGTTCTATCATCGCGGGGCTACGCAGCTCTGGTAATTTGTTGTCGTTGTAAAACAAGTGTTTCATGGAATCGCGCGCTTGTTTTGCTGAACCAAAAAGGGCAAGTGAGGCATCTCGCGCGTCAAGGTACCTGCCCCACTTCCGGCGCTCCTCCAAACCGACCGGTGTCAACTTACAGTTTTTCTTTGGGTGACGGGCACAGAGCTCGACAAATCGTCGAAATAACAGCTTTGTAGGAAGTCGTGTACGATGATAAGACAAGTCAACGCTCTGCGACACCTGTCGAAGTGCTTCTTCCGCCTCTTCATTGCTACGTACAAAGAGAATTGCGTAGCTCTCAGCTGCCACAATGTCGTTTTCCAAGACATCCGAGTTCGCATTCTGCGCCAAATGGGCGTAATCCACCCGGGCCCCCTGCAGAGTTCTCATGCTGACGCGGCTGAGAACACTGCCTATGTCCATCAAGTAGTGGTGGTGCACACATTCCCCACGCGACGCCAATGCCGCACGTCCTCCATCAGCGTTGACAGAACGCTCCCGGCGACGGATCTCGCATGCGACATACCGTAATGTTTCCACAGCTGCAGTATCATTGCGAAGAGTGCTGTACAGCAAAGCAAGCGCATGATAACAACTCAAAATGTCTCCGTAAAAATTCCCGCTTATGGCAATAGATGTCATATCGGCAACAATATATTCCACCATAGATGAGAGCCCAGCGGTTCTCGTATTGATGACACAATTCAGTATGGGTTCATCAAGATTCACGCCCGCCTGTGAAAGCGAAGCTCGCATCGCATCAACAAGTGTGTTAAGCGGACTTGAGGCTGGTGATAACTCCCCACGGTTCTCCAATCGCTTAAAAACGGCTTCTGGACTCACACTACCTCGGGGAAACTCGCTAAAAACACCCAAGGTGCTCCGTATCCGAGGAAAGTCCTCTGGACGCGAAAGTAGAGTAGCAAGGACATGTACATAGTCCCAATCACACAGCTGAACTCCCAAAGCCCGTATCCAAAGCGCCACAAGCAAAACCGCCGTGGATGGGTACTTACCAGAGTTAGCTACATGGTGAAGCAATGACGATAACAGCGGGCAACCAGTCTCAGATCGCAGCGTTCCAAAACATGTTTGAGTGACATCGATCATACGCATCATCCTAGCGAGCGTATCTACAGGGCTCAAGCAGTGAAGAGCATCAATGACAAGAGCATATGTATCTATGTTCGCCTCCCCACGTTCTATAATAACATGCAAAAGTTGTTCAATATTCTCCTTGTCTCGAGTGTAATTAAAAACACGAAAAAGTGAGTGGTAATGCAAGGAATTCAGTGGTTCACCCAGCGTCTCTCGAATATATTGTACAGTAAAGCTGAGATCCTCCGCATTGTGGTTTCGTGTGTATGTCTTGACCAATTCGTCTGCTTCTGGTAATCTGATGGGAGCGACGCCGTCTCTTCCGTTATCGCCATGTGGTGTGCGGAGATGCTTGATGCGAGCACAAGCCACCCGATGTTGATCCTCCCTATGAAATGACTGCCACCAGTCCGGAATCACGTGTGCATTAAGAACAAATGAGCCCAAAGCACACCGTGAAGTCTGAAGCATCCCCCCACAGATGTCAACTGGGTGCCACGGCCAAAGAAAAGATTGGTAAGGAAGGCAAAAAAAAAAAAGGAAAAAGTCAGCACCAACAAAAATGAATTGCTGGTCACGCAGTAACTGCACCACAAAAGACGTCCAGCTCCAGTTCTCCGGGAACCGGCCCACAAGGAGGGGCGAGTAAGCGCGGCGGGATCCTAACTATCTGAAGAAAACAGGAAATAAAAGACAAAAGTAAAACTAGAAAAAATATCGTGAAAATTATATGTGGATTCCCGCAAAGTAAGGCAAAAAAAAAAAGTGAGGAAAGAAGCAAAATCACACATGCACACAGAGATAGAGACGAATACACGCACACACACACACCGGTAATGGAGGCCCAAAGAAGAAAAAGAAGGGCTGTAGTAACAAATTCACGTAAATAAAAATTCAAATGCATCGCTTTCACGCTACGGGATTTCACTCATACAAGGCGTGAAAACTAAAACACACAATCAAATAGTAAAGGGAAAAAAGGCCTCAAGAACAGAGAGAAAAACAAAAGGAAAAAAAAAAAACTAGCACAACGTCAGCGGCAAGCATAGTAGTAGTAACGAAGGAAAGCAAAACGGTAGGGCACCCCCACTCCCTGTACAATAGACGTGTAGATAGATATACACGCCAGACCAGCTTTGGCAAAAAAGAACAACAAACTAGCTGAAAGCAAACTCGTCCGTTTCTTCGATCGCGGCCTTTATTTTTCTTCGTGCGGCTTCAACATCTTTGTATGGTGGAAGCTTTAGTGTGGAGAAGCACGTCGACGCAGACGGTAGCCACTCCTCAGATGTGCCCCACACAACATGTACTTTGAAGGGCGGACTGAGGAACCGAAAGCCAAGCAGTGGGGGCCGAGGCATAGATGTTGTGAACTTCAGCAGCTTTTTTCGCTCATCCTGCGACATGGACTCCACCACCTGCCAGAAGTAGTGCACAGGCGCACTCTCCTCATCATCTGCACTGTGGTATTGTGTGTGCCGTCTCCAATCCGCAACATCAATGGCACCCTCAGCGTCCCCGCCAAAGAGCTTCATGAGTTCATTGCTATCAAATAGTTTCAACCAACTGAGGTCCACGATCATTTTCAGGCCTTCCAGAAAGGCTTTGGTTTGGCGAGCTGACTCATGGTTCAACTTAAAGCATGCAACAAGGTGAATATAATTCAAGCAGTTGCGACGCGTGACTGGAATGTTTCTTCCATCACGCAGCAGCTCCACCTCACGTACCTCTCCCAATACATTTGCCGTGTACGTAAAGGTGAGTGACAAACCTTCAATTTCTTTATCGCTTAGAGAGCGCAAAGAAATGATATGGCGGTACAGTTGCTTGTCAAAACTCTTTAAATTGTTGATTGAGTTACTGCGACCAAGAATGGCGTTGCGGAAGTGAGGCGCAAAAGGAATGTCTAGCAGAACCCCATCCCGCAGTGAGCGACCCACCATAGCACCAAGAAATGTGATGCGACGCAGATGCTGTGAGTCCCCTGTCGTCTCATAACTAAATGGGTTGGGGTAAACGTCACCAGTTTCGGTTTGACAAAACATACCATACTCAGCTGCAAATGCCTCGTTACACAAACTCACAAGGAACTCCCGGTACACTCCCTCACCGTGGCCTTCCTCAACGTTGTTGTTGTTGTCTCGAAAGCGAACGCCAACCAGTTCAGGGGTTGCGGGATTGTTGGCAATCTGGTCAAATGCGTCCATAAAAATGTGACCACGACGCACAAAAAGACCTTGCCGAGAGCCAAAAAACGAACTTTCCCCTCGACCAAGGACAACTCTGGAAAACAGAGTGGCACGCAAAAAAAAAGAGATAGTGAAGGGGGCATTTTGAAGGAGCCGAATAACTCGGTGTAACTTGGACCAAGTGGTACTCCCTGCCCATTGTGGATGGCAAAGAGCTGCGCAATTTGGATTCACAAGTTGTGCCGCATCCCCCGCAGTGTCTTTAAGCGTGAAAAGTTCCAACTCCGACTTAACGTACGTCCACTTATCACCATCAATAGACTTAACTGTGTCAAGAATCGTCAAATCTGTCGTAATCCACACAGAGGGATGGGGCACAAAGGATTGTACTTCATCTATAACATGCAGTTTGGCCAACAACGTTAACGCTGTCTGTGCAACAGCCTCACTGTTGCAGTTCGGGAGAATGCCATGCATGTATGACCTATGTACAATCTCCTTCAACGCCAAGACAAGCATTACAGCGTCATCACGATCCATGACTGTGCAACTATCAAGCTCCTCCATAAAATCGGTGGCGTCTACAAAATAACTCAGCAAGGTAAAAAACAATACCGACACTGCAGGATACGGGTCCCAGAAAAAAGAACGTCCTCCTATTGCACCTGTCACCATGCTGAAAAGTTCTGCTGGAGCTTCGCTCACAAAAGGAAGATGAACCACGTTACCCGCCCTCACTTCCTTCAACAAGAGTTCTTTCTTCTTCCCAGTTAATGCACCAAAGGTGCTGCTTTGACCGTATTGGTAGATGCGCCATAAACACTGCAAAAGCTCTGGTAAATTCACCAATTTTGAAACAATTGTAGTTACCTCAATACGCTGCTCCATAGACGCCAGCGAAAAATTGTAAATGGGCCACACAATAATGCTACATAAAAGATCAAAATCCGACAAGGCGCCAAGTAAGAGAGGAGATGATGAATCTATCTCGAGAGTAAATTCATTAAGTGCAGCAACTGTGGCAGCAGTATCCTTTAACAGGTGTAACCCACAGTCTGGAGTAAACAAGTACGTCGTCAACTGCATGTACTGATTCGCATGCGTAGAACTCTCAATGTGTGGATGAAGAAGATCCGCCAGCGTCGTTTTCAGCAGTTCGTCACCTTTGCTTGCCTGAATTGTCAATTGTAGGAGACACCTCAACCATTTCCTTCGTAGTTCACATTCCTGAACATTTTCTATCTTCAGGAAAAAAGGTGTAAGCCGCACCAATTTTCCAAGAGCTGTTGTCGAATGATGGTGAATTATTGTTGTTAGCTCATTCGTCACAACGTTTACAAGTGCATTTATTAATGCCTTATTGCCCTCCTCCCTTGCAGTACACGTTTCATCAGGTGAAGATGCCAGGAGTACATGCAGTGCACATGCGGTGGGAAAAAGGTATCGCGCATCTTGAGACGAAGATGTGAGAGAGTTTAGCAGCATATCCTTAGCTTCCGGGGTTTCCAAGACTACGGCAATCTCACCTGTGGAGAGTGATGCATACAGGTTATGAATCCACGACACAGCGGCCTCGTTTGCGAGTGTGCCGTGCTGAATAACAAGCTGTAGCGCCGGAACTAAAAGCCTTCCCTTATCATCCAACTGACTGGCTGTTTTAAAAAGAGCATTCAGCATAAATAAGTGTTCCTCTTTCCACTGAGTGTTATTGTCATCTGGCGGGCTGGCGTACTCTGCAAGTATCAAACGAACTAGCAGGTCAAGCCCATATCGACATCCACTCAACTCCTCCGTAAGAGTGTCTTTATGAATACTGAGCACCAACTGCTTCAAAATGGTCTGTATGCACATCCTCTAGAAACAATGAGTGTCATCAACCCCACGGCGCTGACCACGACAGAAGAAATTGAAGTCCCAGCAGTAGTTTCCCAATGATCTTTCCATTGTTTCCTGGTATTCATCATGAATGGAATAAAACAAATTTCTTGCAAGATCAGCAAGTGCCATTCGGCTCAACCATACTCGAGCGTTACGCTGCAAACACAGCGCAGCAGCATGCTGCACCCTATTCTTCTCGCGTCGCTCACGCTTTTTCCTGGCCTCAGCCAGAATCGCATTTGTAGAAGGTTGGTGGTCGCGGGAGAGTGAGAGGTGCGTCGGACGGCTCCTGCCATTAAAAACGTAAATACCATTCATTTTTTTCCCGCTGCTCTTTGTGACCTTGTGAGTGCGGAAAAGGAAGAGGGAAAATAAAAGTGGAGAAACGAGTGCAACCAACTGAGTGGTGACAGAGAGGCAATAATAATCACAGTAACAAGGTAAAAGTGCCCCTTCCCATCCCCTTATCTTCCCTTTTTCCTCCTTCCCCGTCATGGCCCCCACTTTAGTGGGGGCCATGCAAGAAGACGAAAACACCAAAAAAAAAAAGACAATAAACAATAATCCAAAGTGATTCATATATACGCCTCCGTAAAGAAAAAATAAAATAAAATACTTTTATCTCACGTGGCAACGAGAGAACAGCACCTTTGAAAAGAACTTTGCACACCTCACGGGTGCGCAATGCCATAAATTCAATGTTTCCCGCTCCTTTTTCTCAACGACGCCGCAAGACCCGCAATTCGACTTCATCAATCAACTCTGAATACGGTTGCGGCGCAAGTCGAGGCCCATAGAGCATAGTCAAATATACCCTTTGCTTATTTCAAGTCCAACGTACGCGGTGCATGGGGCAACCCCTCAATGAATTCAATTATTTCCAAAAGCATACGACGCTGACCCAAAGTAATTTCATGTTTGCAATTATGATCATTTTCTTTGGGAGAATGGGAAAGGCTCACCACAAAACTATCACCAGTGCCTGAGTTATGATGCCCGCCTTTGGAAAAAGGCCCTTGAGAGAGTCTCCCGTTATTATCTAATACAAAGCCCGCCGCTTTGGCAGTCGCCTCCCAACCCTAGCTAATTCGAAAGCAGGATCATTGAGATGTAAAAGTCGTAAATACAATGCGGGCACACTACCCAAACCCCTCAAAAAATGTCCTGAGGAGACCTGGTCCAATGAAAGAGGTTGATAAAAAGAAGGAGATAAATCCACACTCCTGTCGATATGATGATTCTTGTTTTTGTTGTCTTTTCCACTGACTCTGTTGATAAGGAGCTGAATGAGTACGTTTCCCGTCTGAACGCATAGTAACTGGCTGTGGGCAACTATTCTCTCGAGTTAAAGAGTAGTGAGTGGATTCTAAGCAAAACGTTGGAGGCTCCGGCAGTGTGGCACTGCCTTATCCACTCAGAGTGGATGATTCATAGGATGAAGCCCTTACCCTGGATGCGGGCCAGCAAAAGGCGCCATCAGCATTAACGCCATGCGGCGTGGCTCGCATCGAGCTGGCCTCGGAAAACAGATCAAGTAATAGTTCATTGCCCCATTGTGGAGATGATAGAAGAAAAAAAAATCAGTCAAGGAAAATAATCCTCAAAATACGGGACTACAAGGCATCCACCAACTTTTGGGCACTTACTAACAAGACACGTAACCTCTGTGCGTATCTCACCCACTTGGAAACGTCCAATGAGCCTTGAACATACGGTTCAAGCGTTTTTTTTTTGTTCCTAATTTTGATGGAGACACATTGTCAAATTTTGGGATGCGCACTCCAAGAAGCTTATATCACTCAGAGAAAAAACACGCACGCAGCCACCAAGTCTTGTCACCCGCTTTACCCGGACAGGCAAGGTGTTACGATGGAAATCCACCAAAGCCATGACGGTAACACCCCGAGGAGCCACATACTTCACACGGCCTCGCAAAAAAAAAAAAAGAAAAAAAAGGTGAAAAAAACCAAAGATGCATGTCAAGCATGGAGTGAATGACCCTCTACATTGATAATACAGAGGATGCATGAAGTCAAACCACACACACACACAAATGCAAACAAGCTATCGCGCTGTCTGTACACTGCATACCACAATGATTGAGTAGAAGTCATGCCTCCTTTTTTTTTGTCCTTATTTTGTCCGCTCCTTCCACTTATTTCTTTTTCTCTTAATATCCCCTCGCTTATTCCAGCCCCCCGACATGGAAAATTTTATGGTTAATTGGAGGGATGCAAGCGTTGTCTCCCGTGAAGGCGCACTCTTGATACATATTTCCTCAGAAGCAAGACGTCAAGTATTACAACACTCTTTTGTTGCACTCCGGGGCCTCCAATACGCAAGCAAGGACGCAGGAAAGATGAAAGGCAAAAAAATGAGCCCAGCTAATATTTGTAAAAAAATACGTATAGAAGAAAATTTATAAAGTTTTTACCTCAACTGATTTCTTCATAGTTATTTCTTTATTTCTTCGTTAAATCTCACCTTCACGCGCTCCCACAGCCTCCGTGTGCGTCCGCAGATCCACCCTGCGGCCAAAACAGGCAGATGTAGGGAATGGGGGAGGGGAAATCCAGTATGATCCCTCCCTTTTTCCTCCCACATTCTCATGGAGTAAGGCTTGGCTTCTCGGGGTATGTGCAGCCGTCATGCTGAATCACCACCCCTGCCGCGTAGTGGCCAAGAATACAGCAACGTCTCAGGTCCCTCCCAAGACTGTAGCCAGACAAGAACCCACCCACAAAGGCGTCTCCGGCAGCGTTGAAGTCAACAATCTTTTCTTCAGCAAGGGGCTCCACAGGCACCACGGTCACATCGTCGTTCGCAACACAGACAGTGGGGTTCGCTCCATGTGTAAAGACAACAAGACGGCCTTTAGTGCCAGAGTACGGGAGCTCCTTTGCTGCTCGCTTCGCAATCTCTCCCACATCCTCCAAGCCCCATCCATTCGCTACGGAGAGCGCCCTCGCCTCCAACTCGTTGCCAAATAAGACATCCACATAAGGTAAGACCTGGTTGAGCTGCTCCCCAAAAAACTGAATAATGAATGATGCAGAAAAATTCATCATAAATGTTCCACCCACTTCACGTGCCTGCTTTGCCACGTGTAGAACATAGGCTGTATCAATGGTGAGGGTAAAACCGGTCAAGTAGAATAACTTGGCCTCTGCACGGCATTTCTGTACCGCTGGAGAATAAACATGTTGGGCAGAAAGGCAATTTGCAGCGGCAAGGTTTGCCACAAGTGAACGTTCTTTTGCTGTAATGCAGACAGCACAGCTGCCCGTTGGTTGCTTTGTCGTATACTCGACCAGCATGTTGACACCGTCCTTTTCCGCAGCCTCCCTGAGAATTTTGCCGTAGCGATCATCTGCAATACAGCCCACATATGAAACTATGGACCCTTTCGGAGCCTGCAGCATCCACTGTACAACTCGAGCTGTATTCAGTCCGGAGCCGCCTGGTATGTGCTTTACTTGCGGAATTTTTTCAAGATCGGCAAAAATTTCAGCTTGTTCCTTGGCCAAAAGCGAGGCAGAACCGTGTACCACCCCATACTTCACCATGAACTCCTCTGGTACCACTGCCAAAACATCAAGCAATGGATTACACTGCACATACATCTTCACAGGGAGAGACATGATTGTGCACTGCGTTTGTAAAAGAGGGTACCAAAGATGTGAAGTCGTGCTTAAAACAAGAAAAAAAAAGGGTGTGGAAGAAAAAACAGCCAACATAGAAAGAGAAATAGAGAATCCCATGGCATTTCCCACATTGTACATAGACACAAAACGAGCCACATAAATTATTATTATTAATAATAATAATAATAATAATAATAATAATACACAAAAAAAAACACTCACGCATACCAACTCTCATAAACACACACAGAGAATGCGGCACTCCAACCCTTTGCACAGTGGTAATGCACGATGTATGCACATATATGTGTATATACATATAGCCAATAATAGTCCCAATCAGAAAAGCCATAACACAAGAGGATATTTATTTTCGGCCCCTTTAATTGTATTCCTTATTCTGACCCTCACCTCTCATTAATTACACTAAAATATCTCGATTTTATTCATTACCTTTTATCTACTAATCGCTTTGTATTTATTTATTAGCTTTTGCCTTCCTTTTGGTTGTGACTTGTTTTTTTTCTTTGTGATAACACCTCCACCTGACTTTCTGAGGTAATCGTAAACCATACTATTACCAATAAACTATCCTACTTCCCACGACAAAGTACGTATATGCGCATATGTATTACTCTCCACGACGCGCACGCGCCGCAAAATCTTCTGCAGTGCGCTTCAACCCCTCAGAAAGCGGCACGATGGGCTCCCAGTTCAGCACACGCTTCGCCTTGCTGATGTCTGGGCGTCGTTGCTTTGGGTCGTCTACAGAGGGGGGGAAAAAGACAATGTTTGACTGTGTTCCAGGCACTAGATCCCGAACCTTCTTTGCCACATCCAGCACTGTGTACTCGTCTGGATTACCCAAATTCACAGGGCCAATCTCGGTTGGGTGTTGAATAAGGCGAAAAAAGTCCCTCCACAAGGTCATCACAGTACTGAAACGAGCGGGTGTGCTCGCCTGTCCCATGCACCGTAATATCTTCACCCCTAAGGGCCTGAATAAGAAAGTTACTAATGATCCGGCCGTCGTTAAAGCACATACGAGGACCGTATGTGTTAAAAATACGCGCCACACGAATTTTGACTCCATGCTTCCTGTGGAAGTCAAAACATAATGATTCGGCACACCGTTTCCCCTCATCGTAGCAGCTTCGTACTCCATTGCACTTCACATTACCCCAATATTCCTCTGTCTGTGGGTTCTGCAGTGGGTCGCCGTACACCTCTGAGGTGGAGGCAATAAGTATTGGGCATGCATCTCGCTCTGCAAGAAGCAGTGAGTGATACGTCCCGTTAACACATGTAAGCGTTGTCCCAATTGGGTCGGCCTGATAGTGCACTGGAGACGCTGGGCTAGCCAGGTGAAAGATGTAGACATACTTATGCCGTAAAACTTCCTCCGGGTACGGATAACGCACGTCGTGCTTCACAAAGTGGAAATTCACTTTTCCAAGATGGTGAGCAGTGTTCTGCTCCGTGCCAGTGTACAAATTATCTACAACAACGACAGTGTAACTCTCACGCATTGCTCGGTCAACAGCATGACTGCCGAGAAAGCCAGCGCCCCCCGTGATCAGCACTACCTTATTGTCATTTTTTTCAGGCATCTTAGATCTCAGGCGCACCGCCCAAAACTTGCCCCTCACCCAACTCAATCCAAATAGGCACGTGTGCCTCTGCCATTCAGGGAGAGAAAAAAATGACGGTGGAAACCCCCCCCCAAAAAAAAAAAAAAAACGGCAAACAAAAAGAAAACACGGCCTTTGGAATTTAGCAGTGAATACACAAAAAAAAAAATAACATTCCACCGTCACCTCCCCTCATTACGTATACACACACACACACACAGCCACACAACACGATACAACAACTTCAAAAAAGAAAGAAACAAAAAAGTATAAACTTCGTAAACGTGCTTTACTCGCTGAGCAGTCTCGCACAAGTGTATACATGCGAAACGACACATCGCTACTCAGTGCCTGCATTTTTGTGCGTGAGACGGCAAGCGGTCCACATTCCCCCCACGCAAAGAAAAAATAGTACAAAATGCATACATACGCATCATAATATATCATTCTCTACCCCTTCGTCTTACTTTGTCTCCAGTTATATATATATTCGTTTCTACTTGAGCACAAAGAAGCACACGAGACCGCAGAACTCCACGGCGAAGCCTGTCAGGAGGAGGGCAAAGCCAGGGACGTATTTTGTATACTTATGGGTGTAGATGTCACTGTCACAGTACGAAGAGTAGTGCACAGCAGACACCACGCTCCACATCACGAGGCTCGAAGTGATGCTAACTACGGCAAGCAAAGCACGGGCCACCACTTTGCATTAGACCCACTGATGCAATACCAGCGAGCAATATCGGACAATACTGTGAAGAACATGGCAACAGCGCTGAACGCTTCGGCAAGGTTGAATCTCTGGCACATGGCAGTGCAAGTGTCAAAGTTGACACACCAGTCGCAATTAGGAGTGTTGCACTTCCGCGTGCCCCAAAAAGTCTAGCAAGCATCTGACTCTTTCTTTTGTTTGAGTACAGCGAGCGGGGTACCAATAGAAACAAAAACAACGCTTAGCATGCAAGCAACAAGCACCACCGTTGCCCTAATGCGCTTGCTATACTCACAGACAAAGAATCCCTTCTTCTTGGCCATCCCTCAAACAGCAAGTTCTCTTTTTAGTTCCATTCCGGTTCCCTTGACAATACTGAAGAAAGTTTCCCTTCTGTCTACTGCTGCAGTTTGCTACTGTCGTATGCTTTGATAGTTTTAATGCTCCTGCCGTGGGTATGGGAGACGGTGAAGAGAGAGGAGACAACAACAAGAAGCAATATACCCACATGACACACAGCCACGAAGGGCATGAAAAAGATGAAAGTGGGGGATGGAAGCACAAGGAGAGTAAAGACGGGTGACGGCGAAAGACGAACTGCCGCACGTGGCGGCCCGTTGCCCCCCCCCTCCCTCCCATTTTGCCTTCGCCCCGCTGAATTGGTACCCATCTTGGAGGGGTGGTTTCCACCAGTGATTATCCTACTTTTGCAAAAAATAATAATAATTTTAAAAACATACCTTCAAGTAAACCGAGAAGTAATTATAAAAAAAAAAAAAAGAGAAATAAAAACCACGGGGTAAATAAAAAAAACAAACGAACAATAGAAAAAAAAAAAAGTCAGAAATACGCGCCATGTGGAACGACATGCAAGCCCTGTTTTTTTGTATACGTATATACACGCATGCAAACGCTATAAACCATTTCCTCTTCATCACCCCCATGCACATTTTCTTTTTGTTCGGTTTTCACCTTCAGTTTTTTTTTTTCTTCTACTCGAGTGCATGGATAGACCTCCTATTTTTGATGTCCACTTATTCCTGTTCTCTTTGAGTACCGCTACTTCAGTGTGCGTGTGTGGGTGCACGTGCACAGTCCCTCCACCGCCTTCCGGCGCTGCTTCACTGTGCTTCCCTTGCTGTAAAAAAAAAACAACGGCGGCAGCGGCAATGGTGTTCCCAACAACAAATAGAAATGTCGAGCGCAACCAGACACACTTTCCCATTACGTATGGTCAAACTGAGGAGGAAATGTGATTCGTAACAGCTCTCTCAGGCCGCGGGCCTCTTCACCACCACACGCAGACGATACGGTAAAATAATAATAATACCAGTTTGCCTTTTCCACCCGCACATCAAAAAGGCAAGCGAAAGCGCATATATGTCCGCAAGGGGAATAGGGAAAAAAGGGAGAGCAGGCGTCAGCAACACCCCTGCAGAAGAAAACAAGCGGTAAAATAAAAATAACAAAAAAAAACCGTGCAACACAAAAACAAACAAAAAACAAGGAGGAGACCCAAATGGGGCTTGCACTGTTTCAAGGAGACACAAACCAACGCGTCCCAAGCCACCAAAAGAAATGCGTGGGAGAAGCGAGGGCATCGTCAACGATCCCAATCCCACCCCGTGCGTAAAGGCATCACCGACGCGGTTTAGTTGTTGCTCTTTTTGTTGGTGCGTTTGTCTCTGTCACCGAGACAACAGTTTTGTTGTTTTTGTGGGTAATTTAGCTTTCGGTGGGCATCATTGTTCTCTGCGCGTCTTCTCTCTTCCCTCCCGCCTGATAGGAGGCGTTTCCGTGCAATTGCCGCAACGTGCACCTTACGTCTTTGTCCAAAGAGAATAAGACGCAAAATGGCCAGAAGTAAGTGTCAAAATTTTTTAAAGTAAAAGAAGTAAATACGTATGCCAAAAAAAAAAAAGAGAGAGAAATAAGACACGCCAACATTGGCGAAAGCAACCAGCTGAAAACAGCAAGGCAACCCCGCGACTCACATTCTTTTTTTTTTTATTTCACCCCTCTTTCAATGTTCTCTTTGATTTGTTCTTGCTGCCTTTTCCCGTTTCCGCGGGGCGTCACTCCTCTGCAGGTCCGATGACCACCGAACCACGCCGAGCCATGAGCAGGTGCAGCGCTAAGCAGTTGCTACAAGCGGAGCGTGCACACTTCGGAGGTGACGCAGGTGCCAATATGTGTATTGGCATTATGTGGCGTCGCTCGCATCACTAGAAATAATAATAATAACAATAATAATGGCAGCCATCGAAATTATCTTCATTTGCGCAATGCTCAATCTTCCATGAGCAACAGGCAACGATGAAATAGCCGAGAAAAGTAAGAGAAAGGAGAAGCACAAAACAAAAAAGTATGAATTGAGTGATTTTTGTAAAAATCATACTTGGGTGGATCAAAAATAAAACAAATATCGTTTTCCTTGGTATGTCATACAAGTCCCCGCTGCTGCGTGTTGTCCACGCGCATTTGAGCACAGAAACAAGTCCGGATCAACGCGCCCGCATCGATCACATCACAAACAGGCACACCGTACCAATTACCAAAATACACCAGCCAGCGACATACAAGCGAAAGGCAGCACCGTACTTCCATTGATTCTTCCAACCGGTGCGGAAACCGAATCCGCACACTTTCCTGTTGTGCACAGCGGCCATGCATGTCCACGGAATCAGTACAGTTACAAAGCCAATAATGGCAAAAATCATCATCGAGACTTGTGACGAAGAGCCGTCAAAATTCATTTAAACTGTAATGAGAGACACAAGTGACACACAAATTGAGATGATGGCAAAGGCTTCACGGATCTGAAATACCTGTTGTAAGCGGGAGGCACTGGTAGGACAGACAAAGTCGCCAGGGCGCAAATCGTAGCCGTCGATGCAGCATTGCTTCGTCATGCCCCAGAGTGCTACGCAGGAGAGCTTCGGCACGTTTGGTTCCTTCCAAATATATCATTCCTCTGAACTGCGCCGCTGGCGTCCCCACACATACGAACACAAATGCGATGCAGACGCAAAGCATGCAAATGGAAGTCCCAACCTTTCCGGCGAGAGCTTCGAATGTCATATTTCTTTATCGGTAGGTGGTGTGTTTGTACAAAAAAAAAAAAAAAAACTGAAGACTTATTTGATCGCAAATAGTCAATGCCACAGTGCCTCGAAATGGAAATGGGGAGGAAAAAAATGAGTAGATTCATGCTGGCAATGGGTGAATGTGTGCGACTACGGGAGTGACAAAGCAAAAAAGAAGGTTACCAGAAAAGGAAACAGGCACTCAACGATAATCAAATGCTGCCCCAACAGGTAACACCACCTCAGGAAAGAAGGAGATAAAACTTCAGCTTTTAAGTCCCCTTTTACTTCTCTGAGTCCGCCCCGTTCGTAAGTGCGAAACTCCCACCCAAGGTGAGATCCGCCAACACGGCGTCAAAAGCCGTCGATGACGCAGAAGCGTGTCGCGGAAGCATCGCTTTGCGTACCAATTTCGCTACCGGTGCCTCTCCGCCCTCTCTGGCGTCCGTCGCATCTGCCTGACCATCGGATCCGCCCGCTGTGAGGCGAACGACAGTGGCGATGGAGTGCTCCCATTCTCCCTCCTCGTTAGGGAGACCAGCAGTGGTGAAGCGACGCTTCAACTTGGGCCAACCACGAAACGCCAATAGGTCCTTGTAGCGTAGCGGCTCTCGCACGCCATGGATAACACCAGGCAGTGTCCGCACACGAAGCACTACGTCGCATGCCTCATTCACACAGAAAGAAGTCCATCCAATACCACAAACGTATACGTCTGCCTTCGGACGGCGACGGTGTCGAGGGTAGCACTCAAAAAGGTAACTTTTAGATTCTGTTAACCGAAGATCACCAAGTTGTTCTAACGAACCAGGCGGATCCAACGCCTTTCCAAGTTGGTCTTGCCAAAATTCATCAGAGCGCTCAGTATTTATAATCGCGCTGCGAACCTTCTGAGAGGTGTACACCATAAACAGCATCCCACGCGATGTCCCCTTAACCACATCGATGGCTGCCAAACCACCAAAAAACAGAGTGTTTCCAGGCATCAGTATAAAACAGTGTGGATTTCGATACTTTCGAATGAGTGTGCGGCGCATCTGCAGCAAAGTCAGAGGGGAAGAATGATGCCAGTGAGGAAGAAGTCCGGGTGTATCAAAGAGGTACGCTGTGTCACCTGGTGCGCCTTTCGTTAACGAAATACGGACTGCATTTGCCTCCACCGTCGTTCCTGGAAGGGAAGACACAGTCAGTAGCTTTGATGCCTTTTTGTCATGGCGTGATGGAATGTCAAGCATCTCCGCCTGATTCACATTAGGGGGGGTATACCAGCGCCAAAAAACTGCTTCCGTTCCATCTTTGGCTTTTTTTGTGTAGTAAACTTTACGACTTTCCGGGTGCGGTGGAACTGGGATGTACAACTTGTGGGCGATGGCATTGATGACAGAAGACTTACCAACATTCGCTACACCCACAAAATAGGTTGGCATGGGCTTTATCGGACGCGTCAGATTCAGATTTGACGCCTCTTCCACGGCTGCAATAAGTGCCTCAACATTCCACCCGCGTTTCGCAGAGATGGGAATAACATCTTTTATCTGATGGCGCGGCAGACCAAACTGTATAGCTATGCTCGTTACCCATCGACGTACATACCGTTCCGTTACTAGTCGAGCGGCAATTGCCCTATCTTTGTTCGTATAGTTAAAGGAGCGATTCCGAATGCAATCCATTTTATTTACGGCAATAATAACCTCGTTGTTCATCGAAATAAGACCTGGAAGGTCATACACCATTGATCCAGGAAAGTCAGTGATGTCGACAACGAGCACCACCACACACTTCCTTTCCCGCAGGGCCCGCAACTTCTCTGTGAAATCTGGGGCCGACCAAATCCGACGCCGACCCTCGACGCCGAGGTTCTCCAACGCGTGACAGCGATGGCAAACAAAGGGTTTGCTTTGATCCTTGTAAAAGGCATCAAATTCCTCCTGTGTCATAAAGTCCAGCCACTCTTCCCCGACGCAGCGACCATGCTTTTTCCAGTGAGCCTGCAGCTCTGACATCCGATCCGCGTACTCTGCTCGAGCCTTCATTTTGGCTTGTCGGTCCATGATATACCTTTCAACATCCCCTCGACGCACATACCCGAATGCATTCTCGTCCTTGTCCTGCAAGAGTGCCCCACAGCCTTTGCAGCAATCGCGGTTTACGACGGGTATGTGAAAGGAGGATGGTAGATCCATGACGATGGAGCTCTTGTTCTCCAGCACTCCTTGCATGGCAACCGCGGAATCCTGGTCCAGCACGTGCATTCCCTCCCATTCAAGGAATTTCCGCTCAAACCGTTCACCAGCAATCTCTAATTGGTGCTCAATAGCAAATTTGTCCTTTTCGTAACTCTCCAGAAGCACACCGTATTTCATTTTATCGGTAAGTTCTGCATACTTTTTACGCAAAAGCGGCGCGTCCTTCTTCCTCTGTGGTTGTAGTTGATCCGCTTTCGCGGTGCCGTCGGTGCCGGTGCCAACTGTCGCCAACTCCGACTCCACTTCCACAGCGTCTTCCGTCCAACCCATAATTTTGTGGAACAGACGGTTGATGTGACGAGGAAGAAGAATAGACTCCGCCACCTCACGTCGAGACCGACGGAACTGCTGCAGGTGCAGGGGAATCGGACCTTCGTCGTAATTCTTCACGTTATCGACCTTCAGCTCTAGGCCTTTCCCGAATGGAATCGTCGCTAGCGAACCTGCTGAAGATGATGTCGCTGCAATACTCGAATTTCTTTCATGATTGACACGTAGCATGCTATGAAGAGTAGTTGTATCATCCGAAGCTTCTGGCAGCACCGCATGCGGGGTAGCTGCCATTGTGGTGTCCTCGACAGAACTGATCCTTGCGTCATAAATGCCAAGAGGAGGACGTGGTGAGAGATCCGCATGTGTATCATGCTCGGTATTTGTCGAGACCTCAATCTGCCCGCTAGATACAACGTGCCGATCGCGCCACGGTTTTGACGCCCGCGGTGAATGCAACTTCTTTGAAAAGTCTCTACGACTGTAGCCCAGAGGTGGTACCCGTTTCTTGGCAAGAAGCCGAGTGCAATGCAGCATCATCATAAACTTCTACGCCAGAGTTGTTGTTGTTGTTTTTGTTTCTTCCACTCTCTCAGTGCCACTGTGTGTGCGTACCCTCGCCGGGTCCGTCCCCCTACACCCCGCAGAAAAATACAAAAAAAGGCGGATTTACGGACATAACGGCAGGGGGGGGGGGGGGGGGGTAACGGGAGAAAAGTCGTGAAAAGCCAAAAACAAGAGATGATGCAAAAGACAATAGGTGTTGTAACTGCATGACACAACCAAGAGAAACCACTCGGTCTTAGTCCGTTTAGATGGCAAAGCACTTATTTTATCGTTGTTGTTTTTTTGTGTGTGCGTGTGTGTATTCTGCCTTCCTCTTTTCATTCTTTCTTTTTCCCCCTTTTTTTCCCCCACTCCTTTTCGTTGTTTGTTTTCCCTTCATCCTACTGAAAGAAGTGCCAACGCTACTGCTGTTGCTGTTGGCGTTGTCTTGAGTTCATCTCTGCCATGTACGCCTCAGCCGCCTCGCGCAGCTGAGCCTCATCCTTCTGCAGCTGCTCTGTCACGCGGCGCTTCTCGCTCGAGAGGCGTCTTTCCTCCGCCTCACAGCTCTCAGCCTGCGCCGTCTGCTTCTCTATGAGGGCGTTCACAGGCGTGCGTAGAAACACGCGGCCAATGCTTTCGTACACGCAGTGATCCGCGGAAAGACGTGTCAGCTCCTTTGTGGAGATATCAAAGCGTCGCTTGTTGCCCATAAGCATCACCTGACGGTTCGCCATCACTCTCACTGTATCCCTCAGCATATTGACTCGCTGCTGCGCCTCTGAAAGGGCCTTCACCCTTTCCATCCGCTCAGCCTCTACAAGTGCGGCCATTTGAAGTCACTTACTTTGTTGCTGTCGCTTTGTGATTCAAACCTCCCCTTTGTTGCTGGTGCTGCTGTTACCTTTGTTCGTTGTCGCCTTAACTCGCGCTGCGTTGCATCCCCCGCCATTGCACAAGTACGCCCGTGTGTACATGAAAAGACACGCACACGCCGGTGGTGGAGCGCAAAAACAACGCCCAAAAAAATAATAAAAAATAATAAAAAAAAATGTGGGATTTCACGACGGCCATCGCCACAGTGCGCAGAAGACAGGAGCTAAAGAAAATGGGGTGGACACATCAGTCACAATTATCCCCGACACGGCGTACGTGTCGTGAGAATCGTAACGCAACCAAGATGCATAATTGCAACAACAAGGTAAGCGCAACAACGCAACAAACTGCAGAGTCATATATGCAAATAAACATTGAAATATTCACAAGGTAAAAACAAAAACAAGAATCAGTTCAGGAAAGCCAGCCCAAAACAAAACAGCGCTGGACGTCAAAAGGCAATAATAATAATAAAGCACTGTTTGCATGAAAACAAAAAAAAAAAGTGTGACACATGAGAGGGGTAAAGGATGAATGAAACGGGCGGAAAAAAAGTTGTGATTTCCTTTCACATTTCTCAGGAGAATAAAAACAACAACAAAAAAGGCACTACATATAATGACTGCAAACACAGTTAGGCGTACAGGCATGTATATAACATTCATTGTTTCTAGACGCTCTTCACTCCGTTCACAGACACGTGCCTGTGAATGTGCGTGCGTGCCTGGCTTTTCATATATCCTGTTGATTATTGAAGTACATACTTCTCCTCTCCCCTCCTCTCCCCCTCCCTTCCCAGTTGAAGCATTGACTTTGGCGTTAGTGAAGTTATCTGGTCCAACAAGTTACAAGTGAAAAAAAAAAAAAACGTGAGGGAAAGAAAACAAATGCATACAAAGAAGAAAAAGGCCCAAATAAACAAATCAAAAACACCACAAATGACATACGAGACTTTCAATGTCAAATGTGGTCTCTCGGTGACAAAGGCTATAAACTCAGGAAGTGAGGTTACATTATTATTATTATTATTATTATTACTTTTCATTTTATTGCCTTGATTGCATAGAATCAGCATTCTGCAGGCTACGTTTCTTGCCCACTTACCGACACAATGGGAGGGGAAAGCTGAACGCCCCCGGCGTACACCACCAACCTCAGTTACGTCGCTATCTGGTGGTCTCTGGTCGTCGTACGGTGTCACTGCTGCTCACCCGCGATGGCTCTAACGGCGGGAGATGTACCTGGGAAAGGGCGTGTGGCACCAACTTCTGGGAACCCGACAGCTGGCCGGGTGCAGTGGAGAATTTTGCTTTAGAGAAGGAAAGTGTAGAAGTTCGTTTCGGGCGACCATCGGAGTTCGGGTTCCCAGAACCACCCATAATAGCGTTGGGCTGCGCCTTTGGTATCTCCTTCATCGCTTCCACCACGGTGCTCCGTGTCACGACAAGGATGCCTGAATCCTCGGTGCCCCCAACACTTTGAGGGGAACTCGGCCCTTTCTTGGAGGAGGCGGAGCGCTTCGCAGTTAACAAGCCTATTGACTTTCGAGACACAACGCTGCCGCCTTGGGGAAGAGAAAGTGACCGGGAGATTTCTTTATGTTCCAGCTGCCGCTTTCTCAGAGTCGCCCCCGTAGTTTCAGGGGATTTATTCTCCTCTTTTTGTGGGGCTGATACGTGTTTCGTGGCCCGCAACAAAGAGTCAGCAAGCTGAGCACTCTGCTTCAAATCTGCCTCAACAGCCCCAGCTATTTTTGTCTCATATCGTGGATCCTCCAAAGCGGCATCGGTTTCCGTAAGGAAAAGTTCCTCAAACAAATCGTTCGATTTCTCTTCATCCAAGTGGCAATGCGATTGCACAGTCTGTAGAGTCCGCTGCAAGGCACCGTGCAAAGCCAACAACTGTTGTAATGTTGTTTCGGCCTTTTTACGCATCTCCTTGTAGTTTGCATTCACGTGGGAATTGGTGAGAACGAATTCTGCCATATCCGATGCAGACCTGCGACTCCGCATATCAAATTTCGGCTCAAGGCTAGCAATCTGCAAGTCCATAGGAGCAGTGAGGTACACACAACATCCAACGTCGCGTGTAGAAACAGGAGGTCTTTTGTTATTCTCAGCCTCATTTTTCAGCAACATAAGCACAGAGGAATCTGCCAGCTCCAAAAGTTTGTACAACAACTGAAGATGCGAGGCCTGTAATTTCGTAATTGCCGCTTCAAAGGGCTTTCTGGGGTCGGCGAGGAAGGACGGCGATGCAGAGGCACCGGCCCGAAAAGACTCGAGCATCACACCGTACAAATTACGAAGCCCAACGTCCTGCGTTCGCTTGATCAAAAGGCTCAACCGAACAATTCCCTCACGAAACTTTTGTAGTGGTACCTTGTACACTGATCTTTGAACCTGTTTCTTAATGTAACCGTCCTTTTCCGTGACATGGGAAAAGGGCAGCTGAAACGGAAGCTGCACAAGATCCTTCACTCCGCTGTCAAGCAACGGCTGTGACGACAAACTGTTAGAGGCCCTGGGAAACGATGAGATGCTCGTGAGCGTGAAAGATCCGCCAAACTGGGTGCTGCCGAGGCTGGTTGCTAAATCCCCCAACGTCAGCCCCTCCACAAAGCTATCTTCCATTGCCATTTGATTCCTCTCCACACGCTCTGATCGTTGTTCGTACAACTCGCGTGCTCGATGGTAGCAACGCTTGTACTTGATCGAACACATCTTGTCGCGAAAGGCCTCCTCAAACCGCCGATCCGGAACCAAAAGAAGAAGTTCTTCCTTTAATCTCGGCATGGCACGCACAAGCCGGCGCAGGCGCATCTGCTCCTCCGTGGCGGCAGCCAAGGACTCCGCCATCTCATGCTCCCTTTTTTTAGCAGCTATGGCACTCCGCTGAGCCTTACGAAGTTCCCGCTGCGACTCAATAAGCTGCAAACGCAAGTGCTTTGCCTCGTTGCTTTCCTCCTCTAGTGCGTTTTGCATTTTAAGCGCCTTCTCACGGAAGAAGCAGCGTTCGTTGTCGACCATGCGCAGCACATCGCGACAATCCTCAAGATAAGTTTGAAAAATGTCAGTGGTGGTGTCAAATCTCCCGTGCATGAGCATTCTGCTGGTCTTGCGAGGCAGCTGCGTGGCGACAAGCTCCTCAAGAGAGGAAACGTCGTCGACTCCACTGTCACTGAGACGCAGCGTGGATTTAATAATATCGTGGGAACTCGACAATATATTATCCACTGCGTCCTGCAGGAGTGTGCCCGTGCTGGCGTGCGGTACCAAAGGTAATCCCTCTACCATGCTTCTAAGCTGAAAGGCAAATACCTGAAAACGGCACGCACAAAATAATAATAATAGAAAGAAAGAGAACAAATAATAATAAAAAAAAACATCAACCTACAGGCAGCACAACAACCATGTTTTTTTTTTGTACTTTTATGTCGTAAAGGCTCTCCATCTCCAACTCCCTCTTTTTTTTTTTGTTAAGGTGCAAGGAACGGAGCACGTAGCAGTGTAAAAATAGCTGGCCGCACCTTATTAACAGACGCCGCTGTATCAGCAAAAACATCGGCTCACACTCCCAATACGCGCGGACACACACACACACACACACACAAACGCATTTCCTTTGTATAGAGCCAAAATACGGCGACACGGCAAGTCACAGAGCAAAGCTGTAGGTTAACGCAGTGCGTACATCTTCACCTTGAATAATTCCTCTGGCCAGTCATTCTGTATCGCCTCCTTCACAACATTTACTCCCGCTGCGGCGAAGATTCGCTTGTAATGCGCATCAGATCTTGTCAAACTACTGTCCTCCTTGTCGACGACAAACCGTTCATCAAAGGAACAGTTTTCCTTAAAGAAAATATACCCCTTTGACGTAAGCGCAGTTTTACAGTGCGCCAAAAACTTGACAAAATCATCGTCCGTTAGGTAAATTGCTGTCCACTGAATAACTATAAGATCATACGTGTTTGGCTTTAGCTGGACTGTCTCCATGGAAAAAAGTAAAAATTCTCCCACCGGATAGCCTTTGAGCTCTTCTTTGGCTTTCTCAAGCATGCTGGGCACAGGCTCCAAGACATCGGTAACTGTGTACAAGGAGCAGAGTAAACATTTCGTGATGCGACCAATACCGGCACCGCAATCCAATGCATGAGCAGTGCCACGGTCGGGGAGAGATGTGATAAACGCCCGAGACTCCTTGACATCCACATCGTGAATGTGTTCCATGCCGCCCAACACCCCACTTACTGTTGCCGGCACTTTTGACCAATATTGCAACGACTTCCCATACCATCCGGTTTCAGAGTCGTACAAATCCCCACGGAGTTCATGTGCCCACATGTCTTCGGCACACTTGTACGTGCGGCCGTCTGTGTCACAGCCAGGAATGAGCTGCGGAGTCCTCTTGGGGACCTCTTTGGGTACCCCTGGCATTCGCAGAATGACTAAGAGCGGTCCTAGCGGAGCTCGTCGCGTTGCCAACAACAATTTGGCCTTGAAGAAAAAGCAAGACTAAACACAAATAAAAAAAAAAAAAAAAAGAATAAGATAATTGAAGGAAGAGAAACTTCGGCAAAAAAAAGAAAAAACAAGTGACATTGTCGCGCGTTGGACCGTTAAAACGGCTTCACGTCCCCCAGGACCGCCCCTCCCCCTAAAAAAAAAGAACTTTCCGACATCCCCAAAGCAGTCATAACAAGAGAATCCGCTATACAGCAAGTAGTGGTCGTAGCAAAAACTCGTGGGCTTGGAGTTTTCCTTCCATATTTGCCTCTTATTTCGTTCTGCCAAACCGCCCCTCCAACTCCATTACGCCCTCACCTTGCATGTACTCTTCACCAGGTTCAACCCCTCGCTCCTCCAGGCCAAGGGAAACAGCATCTACGCCTAGCCCTCTGACAGACGCGGGAGCCGAAACAATGCACTCACAGAAGCCTCCCACAAATTCCGTTGTCAATTAGGCACGTGTTGCCAAGGTGATACTGAGCGGTGATGCAAACGACCAAGGTCAAGCGTTCCATCTCTCTCCTCAATGTAAGATGAGATCGCGGCACACCACGCAAATAACAAGAAGAAAAGAATCATCCCGGGCGTAATGAGACACGCCATCGCCCCTCCAAGAGACCCGTAAGCAGTGCAGATCCATGCTCCTGTGATGCCCAGAGCCATTACTGTCGGCATGATGGCAAATGATGAAAGTAAGCAGACAGAAATACCAACATGGCGTCCACAGAAGCTGCTACTACCACGCCTCATAAAGAAAATAAAGGATCCGGTAAATAACAGCAGGCCGTAAACCACTGTTGCAGAAAGAGCGACATTTACCGCAGTATTGTTTGCGGTCGCCACGTTGGCGCTACTCATACGTCAGTCCCGTCTGTCTTCACCTGTAATTTGTTTTTCTATTCTTTGATTTTCCGCTGGGGCGTGTTGCCCCAAACGTGTCCAAGGCGGAACGATGAGCACCGCCACCACCTACACGCCAGCAAAGTAAGCTAAATAAACAAAAGTAGAACAATCGTAAAGCACGTTTAGGCGGCATAAAACGCGGAAAAACATAACATATTATATATATATATATATTGATGTGTGTGTGTATGTGTTTCTCATTAGTTTTCATTGTTTTGCATTGTGTTTGCAGCCAATGGGTGCTCAACGACTGCTCTTCGATTCCGGTATTTACCTGCCTGACGTCACAATCACTTTGCGCGCCTTCGGAACCTTTACGCTTGGCAGTTGAAGCAGCGACAGCAGCCGGTGTCGCCCCAAAGCCACCATGGCCAATCCTATCACCGTGATGGCGGCAGTCAGCACACTCCCTCCCTGCAGTTGCCCCTTTGGCGCGGCACTGCTAACCTCCTCCACTGCTGCAGTCAAGTGCAGCCACGCAACATCAGCGTTGCTAGCGGCATGTGGGATGCGGGCCGAGAGGGAAGATGCGGCAGAGTCTAGACGAAACTTGCGTTCTGGTAGTCGCAGAAAAAGGCGAACCTCCGTGGCCGTCAGTGGAAGGCCGGTGAAAGCAAAACTGCGCGTGGCATCCAACGGCTGATAGCGAAAGACGGCCCCATTGGATCCATCTATCACTTGCACATCAATGTACTGACTGACTTTTTCTGGCACCGAAACGCTTCCAGCAATGTTCATGGACTTCTCAGCATGAGCAGAGAAGGCGCTGAAGGGGACAATAAAAAGCGCTAAAAGTACCCAAGCAATAAAAAGTGGCACGGCAAATCTGTTCATGAGTATCCCAAATATATATATATATATATATATCTTTTGTTGTTAGCGTCTAGCTTTTATTTTTGTTTCGTGTTATTATTATTATATTATTATTGTGTGTGTGGTTTCTCTCTTATTTTCACCTCCTTTTCTCCGCCACTCGCGATATCTACCAATATATTATCCTGCCCGTGAAAAGGAGAACCACACAAATAAAGCAACATAATAATAATACACCGGAAAAGAAAGCGGAGGCGCAGGCAACGACAAGAAGCAAAAATGCATTCGATAGCAGCTGTGTGCAGAGGTATGTTATACGCATATATAGATGACGCAAGTGTAGATACGCCTCACCCGGCCACAATTAACACAAAAGTCGGGGCATTTAACCCGGACCAGACAGAGGGAGAGAGAGATGCATGCACGCTAGTTGGAAATGGCAATGGCGTCCACTAGTATGCAGCCAAAGAAACAAAAAAAGGAGGCGGGCAAAAAGCAAATCCACACACGCATTAGCAACATAGCAGCAGTCCAAAGCAGTAACCGTGGAGTTAAGAGATGTAAAGGTGAGAAAAGGGGAAAATAGCACACTGTGCTTTCTATTATAAGCATGCAGGCGCAGAAAGGCAACATCACACACTGCCCTCTGTGCCTTCTCCTGAAAGCGCGCGACGTCAGGGTTCAAAAGATGCACCTTTATTGTCATTTGCGTATGTGTGTTCATCGCGGTTGTTGCCGTTCTTCATTAATGCGGTGTTCACTTTTTTTGATGTTTTTAGGCCGGCGGCCTTCCAATCACTCTCACCGTCCGTGTCCCATCGCGTTTTCCCTCCGGGTAGTGCAGTCTACAAGACGCGCGTCACGCCAAACTCATAAGGGGTGGAGGCGTAAAACTACCTACTCAGACACAGCCGCACAAATGGAAAAGAAAGGAAAAACAAAAAAAAAGAGAGACAAAGTACGCAACCGGAGAATATGGCCTTCAATGCACCAAAAGAGGAGACAAAAAAGCAGGGAAGGGTTCAAAAACGCATCTAGCTGCAGGTAATACAGATCAGGGAAAACTTCAGGTTCAGTTTTTTTTTCCTCTGTTTTGCTGCGCGCTTGGCTGCTGCTGCTGCCACCGATAGTGGGGGCAAGAGTGAAAAGGAGGCCCTCATGTATGTAGGTGCCACCCCGCGTGCACAGGCAACAACATGGACAGAGAAAACGCGGCTGTGTAATGTATGTATGTGTCACATCCGCGGCCTCCCCCTTTTACTTTTTTTTTTTCCGTTTCTTCTCTCTCTTCACTTCCTCGCGCAATAAGTTCGTCTCACTCATAGCTGCCAGTCCCCACCACCAGTTACAGTAGGCAAATACGCATACGCTCCTGATCCTGCGGAAAACACTTCTGCAAAACAAACAACAAAAAAAAACACAAAAAAAAAACAAATAATGAGGCGTCTAAGTGGTCCCCACTTTCCCGTCAAACGAGAAACCAGCAATGCTGGCCTGTTCCCCTCCATCCTCCTCCTGACAAAGCGCCCGGGGTTCTTTCGACGTAAAGTCCTCGTCAAAGTTGCAAAATATGTTGCTGCTAGGGCGGAATGGTGGCTCAATCTCCCGCTGACTGAGCTTCTCCCAATCAATATCATCAAAGAAGGGATGCTTTTTAAACTCCTCCAAATCCTGCAGGCGTGTCTGGGGGTTACGATCCAAAAGTCTGTGGAGAAGGTCCTTCGCCTGTTCCGAAATCACAGGTAGGCCACTTTCTTTATCATCGTCGGTACCAAACTTGAGGTCACCCTTGAGAATTTCCTCATACATGTCGTTGGAATTTTCATTAAAAAAGGGTGGAATGCCTTCTATCATCTCGTAAAGTAGAATACCCAGCGCCCACCAATCGACTGCACGCCCATGCGGTTGTCCCAGGAGAAACTCAGGAGCTATGTATTCGGATGTGCCACAGAAGGTCAAATTGTTTGTACTACTGACATTCATTTTTGCCAATCCAAAGTCTGTAAGGCATGCGTGACCGTCCTTGTCCAGCACAATGTTCTCCGGCTTAAGATCACGGAAGACGATATCCAGACTGTGCAGATACCCAATTGCCAGAGCTATCTCCCCACAGTAGAACTTGGCCCGGTACTCGTCAAACACTTTCTCTTTGGCAAGGTGAAAGAATAGCTCTCCGCCAGGTAGAAAGTCAAGCACAAGGTACAAGCACTTCTTCGTCTGAAAGGCATAATGGAGTGACACAATAAAAGGATGACTAATCGTCTGAAGAATATGTCTCTCTGCTGCAATATTGCCAACCATTTTTTGCTGCTGAATGAGCTCTTTCCTCATTTCCTTTATTGCATATACTTTGCCAGTGCTTTTTTCGCTGGCCACAAACACGTTACTGAAGGAACCAGCTCCAATAGTAGCATCCAGCTCAAAGTCATCCAAAGACACTTCGCGGTTTCGGCCGCCATACAAAGTAACTGTCTCATCCTCATCACTGCTGTGAATCGTCGGCTTGAGCGGTTCTTGATTATTCACTCTCACATTTGACATCTTCTCCATCCACTCTTTTTTCTGATCCTCAGAGTCTGCAATTAGCGTGTACGTCTTGGGGAGGTTTACCCCCTCAATTGCCCATGATCTAGGGTCCTTCGCATTGTCAATGAGCTGAGTGTCGGCGAGGTCGATGCTACCCATTGGAGGCGATTCATCTGTTGAGGGACATCTCTTCCAGTAGTACAAGATGGAGCCGCGAAGCTCAAAATAGCGGGTCTGTTTCTTCTTGTAAAATCTCCCACCCAACTTCTGAAGATACCCCGAGTGCTCCGCCGGCATCCACCCTGGTATTCGTTGGGTTTATGTTTCTAATTTTGTTGTAGTTGGTGTTGCGTGTAAGCACTACTTCTGGTTCTATTTTGTTTTTGTATTTAATATAAAATAAACAAATCAACTGAACCCGATGGTCACACGCTGCAGACGCACGGAACCCCAAATTTCTATCACCTTCTTTGTTTTTGTTTTTTTTTCTATTCCCTTTTTGCTGGCTTCCCTGCGACGCTCTGAGTGAGCAGCAGCTAGAAACAAAATGGAAACAAAAACACATGCAGTACATATCACCAGGCCCTGACAAAAACAGGTGTTTCATAAACGAGACGTTTCACGATGAACCACCAACAATCACAAAATAATAATAATAATAATAAGAGCAAGGATAAGGAAGACAGAGACAAAAGAAAAAGGTTGTCTTAATCGGGTATTGTCTCTGCAGATTTACGGAATCTCTGCAAGTTTTCCCAAAGGCATGCCGCCATCACGTGCCGTTTCCAAGAATGCAGCCCAAAGGACAAAGTACCACCGAAGAAGTTGTATGTTGGCCAAATTAAGCTTCAAAAGCTCTGCGTGGTGCACCGATCCGAGAGTTGATCCGTGGTCATCCTGAGACAGCACACATGCAACAGGAGCGTTCTTGGTCAGGGACGTGACCGCATGTTTCACACACCTGTTGGCCCGAATGCGTTGACTATTACACCAGCATCTCCAGACTTTTTTCTTTACATGAGCAGAATGCCACCGAAGAGCAATAGCTTCATATTGGCAGCAACGTTCCAATCCGGTGCCAGTATTTTGGGTTGTCTCAAGCGATATCAGGGCAACCTGGAGCTCAAACGATAAGGCATCGTACCTCAAAGTTGGTCGTGTTTTTGTCGCCCCGTGCGCCGGTATATTTTGCATGGTGGAAACGTCACCGGTCGCTCTATCAAGCAAACTTGAATTGCCCAGAGCCGAACGAGCTAACCGTCGTTGGGCAGCTCGTCTTTCCATACGTTCTACAAAAGCACAGGGTAACTTCTGAAAAACATGTCTCGTCACCTTTGGTGTGCGTTTAGCACTGCAGTCTCCGTCAAGCAACCTCATCTCCTCTTGTGTGTACCCGTCACTTGGACAATTAATTACCTTTTGTGCCTTCATTCCAGTGTCACAGGCAGTTTTTGCTCCACTGAGGCTTTGCCGTCCCTTTCGCTGCGACATCACGGTTGAGGCATGCAGCACGGGTGGTGTGGATGTGCTGAGGCATCGCCGCCGCCCACGACTATTGGTTTTCGCTTCCTTGCTGGTCCCCTGCATTTTCAGTAAACTTTTCACGACTATCATATCTTCAGAAGACAAAGGCTCGCCTTCATATAATGTAGCATCGCGCGCTTCCGGTGGCGCCGTTGCCATGTCCGACGCCTCCTGGTGAGGAATCCGCAAGTGATAAGGAGGCGTCTTCTCATGGCCCACAATGCGCTCAAGCCACGCATTCTGCACCTCCCGAACAGCCCCATCCACATCAGCTGCCACATCAAAAACCCTCACTGGGTCCTCTATTGAAGTATCACTTACCTCCACAGCCATGCCGTCCATAAAATCATCGATAGCAGCATTGGGGAGAGAGGCCCTTGCGGTATCACTCAGGCAAGGCAGGGGAGCAGCCGTGTCTCGGAAACTCCACAGGCCGGACATTTAGATCCATAGACAAAAACAAGGGGCGACCAAAAAAAAAAAATGTGTCCTTTTTTGTGTGTGTATAGATTTATTGATTTTTCAGAAAAAAGTATAGTGAAAATCCAAACTTCTTTTGTGGACACTATTGTACAGGCCACCAAACGGAGAGAAAATCCACCCACCCCCACCCCCTGCAACACGATTTGGTTTCTCTCACCATAACCATATATATTTGAGAAGGACCAAAGAAAACAGTTTTTCTTTCATCTTTTTTTTTTACCCTTTTGTTAAGCAGCATAAAAAGCAAGGGAGGCAATTCAGCTGCCCCTCCATTGATTCCTAATGTGAATCGTCTCTACGCCCAATGAACTGCACTCCATTGTCTAACCTTTTTTTTTCTGCATCTACAATGGACTTAGGCCCCACCTTTCGGAATGCGCATCTGCTGTTATATATATATATATATATATTGTTCATTTTTTTAAATCTTGTTGGCTACATGCAAGCACACGCATGCACATTCATGCATATACGTAGGTGCTTGCCTGGTTCATTCAATCCGTTGTTGTTTTTTCCCCCGTCTCGAAGGAGGGAAGCGGGAGCCTCTGCGTGGTTCCCACCATCGCCTCTCACACGGAGCAGGCGAGAACGACTTTTTGCGCGCGGGGCTGATCCCTTAGAACGCCAAGAAACTCCTCCAAAATCTCTTTCGGGATCTCCTTCGTGAAGCTCTCGCGGTCCCTGGAGAGGCGGCGCTCCACCAATGTCATGATTTTTTCATCATTCGCGCGGTTGCGTAACTGGCAATCCTCCGAGGTGCAAATAGCCCGGACACACTTCAAAACCTCACGTGGTGGCGCCTCCAAGACGCCCTCCTCCAACCGCTGGGAGAGAATAGACCACACACTCTCCCCCAGCTCCCCATTTTCAGGGTTTGCGCTGTGCGCCCTTTCTAGTGCTATACGCGCTCTCGTCAAATCTCCAAGAAAGCGGGCGTAGATATTCATCCGAACCTCCCTCGCTGCCTCCTCATCATCGGGTGAGTCAGCCTCCTCTCGATCCTGGCGTGTAGGACGTTTACCAATGCAGTAATCACCAAGCAGCAGCAACAGCGCTTTGGCTTGGGCCTTTTGCTCAGCCAAAGCCTCAGCTAACGCCGCACACCGGCGAAATGTGTGGCGGTGGTAGCACATGTCTTTCGCTACCGCCGCCAGCATGACCTCCATGGTAGGTGGTGGCACGTATATGCCACAGCGACTAGCCTGACGCATGATCCATGTTGTGCTTGCAGCATCGACATATGGAGCCACCCTTTGTAGGCGCGTCCAAAGCACGTCAACCAATTCATCAAGTTTGCGATTGAGATTTTCCTCAGGTGGCGTTTCCAAAGTGCGGTACCCGCCCACAGCCTCGAGTAGCTCTCCAATCTGCTCATCTGTATGAAAACCCACCGTGTCTATTGCACGTTGTACCAGTTGGAGACTTGGCTCCTCAGGGACACACAAATGTGGGGCAGCCCTTAGTAATGTGATGACTTCGCGAGAGTGCATCCTGTCAACACCCGAGACCGCCTTTAATAAAACGGCATTGGTTAACTCCCGCCACGCTGCCTCATTGCTCTTGCGAAGAGGAGCACTCACCAAAACCTCTGCCAGTGTGGAGAGTTGTGGCACAGGCATCTGTGAAACGCAGGATTGCAATCGTTGTAGCATGGATTCCTGCAATGCAGCATTGGAAAATATCTTATTGCGCTTAAACGCCTGCAGGATCATCACCAACTCCACAGGGCTCATCTCTGTAAAGGTAGACTGCACAGCTGGAGACACTTCCTGCAACAAGATGATATCACTATCTACCACCGAGAGTACACCAAGTGCATTCGCAAAAAGAGCCAAATTCTGTGAAGACAACGCATCGATATTCTGGCGCATCCACTGGACGGCCTGCTTGATTCCCTCCGAATGAGGATAACTACGGAAGGTTGCCGCGCAGTTGAGAAGCAATGTTACCGTCTTTTCATCCTGTGTCGAGGGATCAACATGTGCACGACGAATCGCACGACGGGCCTCTCGTTGAATATCGCGTCTATCCTTTCCAGACTTGGCATTTTTGTACTGTCGCTTCAACTCAAAGAGTTTCCTGGCAGCTTGCTCATCAAATGGGCCCTCAATTGGCATCTCACTATCGCCACGCCCATCCTGAATACGACCCTCACGGATTGAGTTCCCACCTCGTGCATACCTCCCACGACTAAAGCCACCATTGCCTTCCTCATGGCCGCCCTGGTCACCGTAGTCGCGTCTACCACCACCTCGCTGACCACCATAGTCACCCTGGTTGCCCTGGTCACCGTAGTCGCGTCTACCACCACCTCGCTGACCACCATAGTCACCCTGGTTGCCCTGGTCACCGTAGTCACGTCTACCACCACCTCGCTGACCACCATAGTCACCCCGGTTGCCCTGGTTGCCGTAGTCACG